AAGCTAGACGGCCTTTCCCGGGGGGGGGGGGGGGGTACGTGCCGCCAGCTGTCTAAATCCCTGACCCTGTTTAGGACACTAAAAAGTGAAAATCCATACCCTGTTCAAGACAAATTGGAAAAATAAGGAATAGCTATCTGCGCCGCAACCATCAAAAGTGCAATTATACTGAAATCCATCAAAGACCATAAGAAATTTGTGATAACACGTTAATCCTGGGACAGTGAAATGGTATTTCTACGGTATTTCTTATGAAAATATTACACCAAAAACAATTATATCGGTCTTCTATCTAAATTGTAGAGCCTATTTAAGACAATTTCGGGTGAAATGTATACCCTGTTTAAGACAGCAAGGCCAAAAACCCTACCCTGGCCAGCGGCACGTCCCCCCACCCCACCCACCCCGGGCGGCCTTTATATAAGCAGCAGAATTGTCCACACACACTAAATTTGTGGCTATTCTCAGTTGCTTTACGTCTTGTCTTGTGTGACCACTGGTACTCCTTCATTTTTTCTCAAATTTAAACAATCACTTCCTAAATTTCCATTGTATTTTTCGTTTCTATTATTAGAGCAAACGCAGGAAAATTATGAAATAAAATCAGTCTAAACACTAACAAATAGCGGCTATTTAGAGACAAATTGTCAGTATCAAAGAACAAGAACACAATAGAGGTGAATCCACATGGGACCATTTTTGATTCATCTTGATTTAGTTCTGGTTCATTGATACTGACAAATTGTCTCTAAATAGCTGCTATTTGTTAGTATTTAGTTTGATTTTATTTCATGGTTTTCCTGCGTTTGCTCTAAGCTTTTGCCAAGCAAGAAATGCTTGATTATCTAGTAATAATAACAATTTMCTCCTCCTCACCGACATCGGCAGTCACTTCAATCACAGTCGACTCCTTTAACCCYCGGATATTTTCAGGAGTATTCAAGATCCTCCTTAGGTCCCCCCCTTCACAATACTCCATTGCCAGCAGCGGGATCTCTCCTCCACTGACATCGAGAATCGCTGGCACATCTTTGGCTTTTACAATGTTTGCGTGATCAAGTTTCTTCAATATTTCCACCTCTTGGTGCCATCTTTGACGGTTTGCTGGGCTCAAGTCCAGACGACATTTTTTTATTGCCAAGTACTCGTGATTGTACTAAACAAGAGCAAATCGTATCATCAGGGTTTGTGCTATATACATCTTTACTATGAAATCCCAGGACTTTTCAAGTACTTTTGAAAAAAAATGTGATTTTCAAGGAGTATTTTTGAAGATATTTTTTGATGTTAGCGAATGTTTCAATTGGAGATTTTCCAAAATAGCCACATTTGAATCCAAAAGCTAACAAGCAACATATCAATTTTATTAGATTCAAGGAGTTTTCCAGGAGTTTTAGCGATTTTCCCCATTTTCAAGGGCTTTCAAGCGCCCTTGAAACGAGTTTTAAATTCCAGGACTTTCAAGGGCTTCAAGGACGAACATTGTTTCATCAAAATCATCATATTATTAGGCAATTTATTGTGTAATAGAGCGGTTTTCATTAACCCGTGAAACACACTTTAGCGTATTTATCGCTATTACACTTTGGCTCTTTTTTTAGAGTGGTTTTCATAAACCCGTGAAACACACTTTAGCGTATTTATCGCTATTACACTTTCGCTCTTTTGTTTTTATTGTCTCTACTCGACTATTACGATCTATTACACTCTAATTATTACACTTTGTTTTACGGGTTTATGAAAACCACTCTAAATAAAATAATAATAATAATAATATTAAATTCAATTATTAACTTACCTTATGTTTCCATAATGTTACTGTACCAAAGCCACCAGCCCCCAAGCATCTTTCTTCTATCCAGTCATCATGTCCGCTAACCTGCATTTCACCACCATAAAAATGCTGTCAAAAGAATACATTATAATGATAAATAAGTTGAAGCCTAGGGTTTTACATTGACGTTTATACGTAAGCTTAATTTAATCATCATAACTTAATATAATAATGATAAAATATCATTTTGTTGACTCGGAAACTATAAGTAGATAGTCTTGAACTTGTTTCAAGATGAATTAATCTACAATATTCACATTCAAGTGAACATACTTTGTACCAAATGCTTACAAAATCGAGTTGATGTCCGGAGAAATGTGGCGAAAATTGTCTTGAGGTGAAGCTCATCTGAGTCTAACACATGCTTCTCAAAATGTGCCTTTCAAACTTTGCTAGAGTTTGCCTCAGATTGCACAGCTAATGAACACAAATTGTTCCTCTTACCTTCTTCTTACATATTAAGCAAATAATCAGAAGTTTCCAGCTCTAAAAATGATAATATTTCAAGTTTTTTTCTTGCACGCCTTCGAGTTGTTTTTACTTGGAAATTCGACTCTAAGTATTGGAACCCGGAAGTTGCTCAAGGCATTATGGGAAGAGAACCACAGGTAATCCAAATATCCAATTTTACACGTTTGCGAATCGGAAATTATAGATAAAATTGTTTATTTAGAGAATTCATTGCAGATTTATGTTAGAATTAAGATTTTGATATATTTACAACTTCATTTTTGGTAACGCTTCAATATTTGTTTTAGGGGTATTCCCTGATTAGTTTCAAATTACATCATCACTTTAAGTTACTTCCGGTTTTTCAGATATCGCCACATGATTGGTTAAGAAGTTTGTTGTTTTGTTTCCGGTTGCACCACAACTTCAAAACTTACAGAGCCACAATGAAAAGTTCTGATGCAATCTACAGAATTTGGACGTAAATATTGCCTTGATCGGTATAAAATCCACTAAAGCTCTTTCCCAAAGCTCATTGTTAACCAGAAATGAACATTTGAGGGCAAACAAAACTGTACTATTTTCGCAAAAAGGTGAATATATTTGCACGTCAAAATGTGCGGACACATCACTCCTTTGGCTCGAGATTTCCATCGTCTCTTGAAGAACGTCAAAAAGCTCTCCAACAATCAAGTTAAAGTTGTGGACTACGCAGACGACATTTGTGAATTCACACTTGAGATCAAACCAAACGATGGATACTACAACAGAGGGATGTTCGAGTTCAAAATCGAGCCACAAGAACCGTACCCTCAAAAAGCCCCAAAAGTCCAGTGCTTGACTGACATTTATCATCCAAATATCAATGACTCGTACGACCGAGATGTTTGCTTAAGTTTGTTTGATGATTGGACGGCTCAGAATGATCTAGAGGATTGCGTGCAAGGCCTTCTTTTCCTTCTCTACAACCCGAACCTTGAGGATCCATTGAATCCATACTTCGATCCAGGAAGCGAAGAACAGATTTCAAATTTTGCAGACGATGTTAGAACCTCCCTTGAAGGTGGAGGGGTGGAAGGGCATTATTATGAGAGGAACATTGTTGAGGAAAAAGAATCAGAAACTGTCCTTGATGAAGGTAGTGGAACACAAGAAGTGGATACAACTGTAACAACAGAAGCAGAAACTCAAACAACATTATCTCCAACAACAATTGAAGCAATAACAACAGTACCGACAAAATCATATACACCAACCATAGAAGCAGCAACAACATCAACAACACAGCTAACTATAAATGAAATGGCACGACAGGTGACAACAGCAACACAAACAACAATACAAACAACACCTCTTGATCATTTGCAACATGAACCACCACAAACAGCAACAGCAGTAGCAACTGCAGCAACAGCAGCAACAGTAACAATAGTAACAACACCTACAACTGAAGCGAGAGGACATGAATCAACACAAACAATGCAGACAACACCACAAACAACAGCAGTAACAGGAACAACAGCAGCAAGTGTAACAACAACAACAGCAACAACAACAGAAGCAATAATGACAACACCTACAACTGAAACAAAAGGACAAGCAGCAACAAAAACTATTCAGACAACGCCACAAACAACAGCAGTAGCAACTGTAGTGACAACAGGAACAACAACAGCAGTGACTGGAACAACAGCAACTGCAACATCAACAGAAACAATAATGACAACTCCTACAACTCAAATGAGAGAAATGTCAGCAACACAAACAACAACAGCAGTAGCAACTGTAGTGACAAAAGGAACAACAACAGCAGTGACTGGAACAACAGCAACTGCAACATCAACAGAAACAATAATGACAACTCTTACAACTCAAATGAGAGAAAAGGCAGCAACACAAACAACAACAGCAGTAGCAACTGCAATAACGACAGGAAAATTGGCAACAACACCTACCACAGAAACAAGAGGACATGAATCCACACAAACTATTCAGACAACAACAACAGTGACAACAACAATAGTAACATCTATAACTGGAACACAAGACTGGAAACAGAAAACACCACTTCAAACAATAAAACAACAAACAACAGCAACAACTCCTCAACCTCCAGCTGCTTCAATAGAAAATACTGAAAAGTCCTAGACAAGAAATCATAGTTCAACAAAAAAATCAGAAGCTTTCAAAATGAATGAAATGATTGAACCATATTTTTTACATAAAAGTTTTATTTAGAATAATGTACATAGTATCATATTCCATTCACTATTTTGTAGTACTAAGAAAATAATAACATTAATATTCTGTATTGGACATCAACAATTATAGTAAAAAAATATTAGAAAAAAAAATACTAACACACTTTCGATGTACATAATTATTGGCATATATTGTTGAATGAAGTGATGAGTTTTGAATGTACCAGAAAATAAAACGCACAATAAAATAAAAATAATAAACCAAAATAATATTGTAGTTGACGTGTTTATGTTCTTTCTGGTCAAACTCTTGTTTTTTTTAAGCTAACAAGAGTGCTTGCCATATGTACTTGAAAATACTAAGTGTTATAAGTTTTTAATGCGTAATAGTATTTAGTGAAGTATTATATAATAACTAAGAAAAGATATTTGTCTTGTTTGAACTGTTTTGCTTCAGACATATCAGCTAGAGTGCAAACTCTCTAAACGTCCAATGAATAATGCAGGGATTCTTTGTTTTCTATGGTATAATTGTACTATTTTAAGCACTAAGTTGTTAGTGCTTTTTTTGTGCTTCTTAGTGTTTGTAGAGTGATCTCTAGAGTGATCACATTTAAACCATGAAACTGTACAAAATGTAAGTGGTATAAATTTGTACTAAAAGCGGACCTGAAGCAAGACGGTATTGAATGCTTCATTGGTATCAATTCAATTAAATTTGCGTACTGTATGTACAATTTTCTAAATACAACTAATAGCACTATTAAAGGGACACTGTCAATGGATGACATGCGCGAGTAAACTTGAAAACATTAGGCTAGTGTTTTCAAGTTTACGACTCCAAGTTGGCGCAATGCATGACAAAAAAAGTACTTGTAAACATAAACAGATCTAGAATATTCCAAAGTGTGTCAAAACATTAATTTACCTCGAAGGTAATACTTTCAAAGTCCGTTAGAGGCAAGACTGTTACTACACATGTCATCCATTGACAGTGTCCCTTTAAGTTTGTACAGTTGTGCGGTTTAAGTGCGATCACTCTACTCTAGTGTGTAATAAAGTAAGGGAATAAACAGTTAAAGATGACAGTATGCACACTTTTGAGTGCATGCACTAAAGCTTATCTTAAAGCAAGGCAAATCAATTGAATCTGACTAGCAAAATAACTGAAAAGTAGACAGAGCTCACATTTGTCATCCAATAAGAAATTATTGGATTATTATAACTTAACCAAAACCTCAAGCTTAAAGCCAGAACTTTATTGGTTAAGCTAAAAGCCTTTTTATTGAAAAAGCCACCATCTCAAATTCTAAACTTAGTGATTTTGTGAATAAAGTAGTCTCCAATTTAGTAAAACCAGTAAATGTTTTTAAAAGCTAAAGCTACACAAGTTCCAGCTTCACTATAGTTTCATCCAAGGAAAAAACAAAATTTCTTTATCACAAAACACTGCACAGACATAAATGTCTTGTGTGCTAAATAGTTCAAGATAGCGGCTGTCTTCTAAAAGGTCAATTATTTTGAAGAATAATTATCATTAAGGGTGTGTTATGATATAAAAGACGTATAAAATGTGTTATGCCACTGGACCATATTACCTTCTGAAACGTCGCTATTATTATGTCAATCTAGAGCACATATACATCGAAACCAGCTGTAATGTGTATGTGAAAATATATACACCAGTGTTTTATTAATAATCATTAATGATTAATTGATAATCAAAATTTTTAATAAAATTAATGGTTACCTAGATCTCATTGAAAATGGTTTTGAAAAAATTCTCGTAAGTGGCTTCATTTGAAGTACCACGCAGTAGTCAAAGCTGCCTAGAAAAGTCTCTCTGATTGGATAAATACAATGTTACTTTTACTTGGACACTATGGTGTTTTTAGGTTTTTGCAATGAAGAAATAATTGATCCAACAGAAGAAATTTAGGCAACATTATTGTAGGTTTATGAATAGCATAAAAGGTTGTCCAGATAGAAAGTCTACACCATAACAATTTATCATTGTATGTGACAATTATAAAGTCACATAATAAAACATTGCAGCACATTTTACTGTGTGGGATAGATTTCTGATTAACATTTGAAATTCCAAATTTAACAAATTACACATGGTTTTGAGTTCCATATCCTCTTATTAACACACTCTTGACATTTCAAAAATGTTCAAAACTAAAACTGTGAGCCCATGAGTTTAGTGCATTGGTTCACTGCAAAGTTCTGAACATTTTCTGACAAGAGAAGGCCCTAAGAGACAACTATACAACAATGTACAATTTGTTTTTGCCATGTTTTTAGTCTAAAAAATAGCAAAAATCATTCCTTTTTTTCAACAGCTCACATGCTCAGACATGATGTTGTCAGCACTGTGTGAGTTTGACACACTCTAATCAGTCAATTAGCACACAAGAATTCACACAAGTATAGTAAAAATAATTTCCACTAATAATCTACATCTGGGATGCTTGCCTCTACTAATTTTAATAGTCTTTTGTCATGATTGCTTATAATTTTCTTTGTTTTAATATGAAATTTTTGGTGTTTAGTCAACCTTTGGTTACCATAACAACAAGGGCTGTTGCAACATCATGTGACAGAGAAATTCAAAACTTCCTATAATCATGTAGCCTTTTTATCTGGACAGTCTTTCAAATGAAACAACATCTCTAGCTTTACATGTTGTGATCAAACCAGAGTTTCTTCCTTGGCCCATGTTTCTTCGTTGTCTGTGTCTGAGAAGTTATCTTCATCTTCAGTAACATTTCCAGCGTCATTGTTTGATTTATTGTTCGATTTAGAATCAGACTTCTTGCCTTTTACCTTGATATTTTCTCTCTCTCCAACTTCCTTGAAAAACACCTTCACCTTTATAAATAAAAACTAGAGTGAGCACTGTGCATGCTTTTGTGAAGGAAGGTTTATAAGTAAAACAAAGTGTAAAAGTCAAAATGTACTGATGAACTGACTTCTTAAAAAGAACAAAAGAAAAAAGCAATAAAATAAAGAAATAAATAATTAAGATAAAACATTACATACGATATGTACAACTATTTGCAATAATTCTGACCCACTTAAGATAATATTCATATATATCAAAGTAGTCTTAAAAATTATTGGATACAATTGATGATATTTTTTTTAAAGTACTGCTGGAGAACTCAAAAATACATCAGTCATGATATCCCATAATATTAAAAGTCAGTTTGATATACATGAATATTAGTGTAGGTGGGTCAGAAATATTGAAAACAGCTGTTAATATGAAATATATCAAAAGCAATAAATATAAGTGTAGTACAGTTTGTGAAAACCACTCCTGTTTCTCTTTCCCAGAGCAAGTTTTCATTCATATTTTGCAGTAATGCAACAGACTCTACTAAAAAAAAGCAGCTTAATGAATTTAGATGATACATTGGCACCTGCAATTACCTTAAAATCTGCTTGAAAGACCCTACATTTCTCATCCTTGTGAGCCTTGTCTATATATTGCTTTGGCAATGCAAACCATCTCTCTTTTGTCTTTTCATCGTAAAATGATTGAAGGGCGGGATCGGATATCTCTGTACTGTCTTCACTTAAATTGGTACCAACACTTATAAAAAAGGTATTAAACCAAAATTGAAATATTCTTTCCTGAAAAAAAAAGAAAATATGAAGAAAAGGTTAATGATTTGAAAGAGGGAAGTACATGTAAATGGGGAAAATGCAAGGAAATGAGAGGAAATAAGGAATGGAAGGACAGGAAGAATAGAAATATGGGACAGAAGGATGGAAGGATGAAAGGAAAGGGACAAAGGACAGAAGAGAAGAAGATGGAAAAGAAAGAGGGAAAAGTGGAGAAAAGATGGAAGGATGGAAGAAAAGAAGGAAGAGAGTAATATGAAGAAAGAGGGGAGGAGGAGAAATTTGAAGGAAAGAACATAAAAAAAAACAGAAAATGCAAGAAAAAGAGGAAATAAAGAAAGAAAAACAGGAAGAATAGAAGGGAAAAGAAGAGAAGAAAAACAGGATGGTATAAAAGTCAGAAAAAGAAAAAAAAGATATAAATGAGAGGAAGGAAACAAAACGAAAAGAAAGGGAAAGGCAGGAAGGCAATCTAAGGTAGTATGTAATGCAGGAGAGAGAGAAAAACAGAATAGCGAACACAAAGTATAGGAAACTAGTCTAGACATAAAAATTATGGAAATACTGGATGAAAGAAAGGAAACAATTAATGAACAGGATTGAAGATAAACACATCAAGAAAGATACAAATTAATTAATCAACAGTAAAACTTAAAGTAAACAAGTAGAATTGATCAATTACCTTTGAAAATTTTTCCTTATGGAAGAATTCTATTCTGATATCACCACAAATGGGTAGCAGCTGTGGTAGCGGAAGGGTTATTGTTGTATCACCACGTTTTGTAGTCTAAAAACCAAACTTATCAGTAGGGAATCAGGAAAATTTACTTTAAGCTTAGTTCTTAAAAAAAGTTCTCCCACACAAATTCACCCCATACAAACAATAGCACAAATAATATAAGACTTTCCGAGCTAGGAAATATCAATAAGTGTTTTTTTCCTAGTGGGTTTATTATATTTAAAAGCTTGCATCACATTACTGTCTGGTCTGTCACAGCTTCCCTACTGTGAAGATTGAGACATAAAACAATGTTAATTTGTCCTACCTCAAAAACTTTCGATTGATGTATTTTCACTTTATATTGCCAAAGAGTAAAATATGGACCTAAAATGAAAGAAATATATATTAATAATCTTCAATACTTTTTACTATAGATCTCAGCAATGAGATAAAACATGTAAACTATGGAAGGTTGCCATTATTCTATTTTCAAGGACTACTTTTTAAGTATGTTTTTGTTCTTCCCAAGAGTTATTTAGACATTTAAAAAAAAAAACAGCTTTATTTTAATTGAAAAGTTAAAAAGCAATAATATATCAATTTCATTAGATTCTAGGATTACCGTATTCTAGGAGTTTTAATGTTATATCAATTTTCAAGGGCTTTTCAAGTACCCTTGAAAACAAATTTTCAATTCAAGGGCTTTTCAAGGATTTTAAGGAGTGGCATGAAACCAATGATTGGCACATGGACACAAATTAAATGCTCACGTCACATCAATATAAAAATGAAACAGCACTAAATTACTTACTACACGTTCCATTCTGCATATTAGGTATCGTAATTATCTCAAACCTTTCCAATAATACCATAGTGGGTTCGTATGTGAGCTTGTGTCGAATTAACGTATCATAGTAACAGACATAGCGACGTTGACTTGGAATGGTCACCCCTTTAGCGTTCCTGGTCCGTGCATTTCCATAATATTTCAACGCTTCGTTGACATCATCAAAGTGACCATTGTGACGTAGATAGGCACAAATCATTACCCCTGTCCTCCCCTGAGAGTATAGAAAAGGCTTTTAGTTGAATCTGGGGCTTATCATATTGGGAAATTATTTGATCTTTTATTAATAATTCAAAAACTCATACATAATTAATGAGTTATTAGGCCAATAGAATGAGCTTATTTGGTCACATCCATGGACCTTCATATCTGATAAAACACTCCTTATTAGTATTCTTTATATAAAGAATACTAATAAGGGTGACCTTTATCAGATATAAAGGTCCATGACCCAAGCAAAGGTCTCAGGTTTGGTACCTGATCATTGACCAATGCAGGATGTCAACCGCTTGCAGTAAACAGCCAATAGCGCTTCTATTTTACTTTATGCGTATTCAATGTGGGATGACAAGAGTGCTTTGTAAAGTGATTTGTGCATAATCACTTTTTCCCATTTAGCTCAAAATTTATTTTTACGGCAATTTCTCCAAGAATGTTAATGTATTTGAGTTTAGTGTTGGAGTTTTTGAAGCCATTTAAAACACTCTCTCTCATGTTTTAAACTATACATAAATGCCTCGGATGAATTGAATCAGTTTGCTTACCTTTCCTGCTTTGCAGTGAATGATAGCAACATTATCCTTATGCGCTTTTAACCATTCATCTACATCATCACAAAAAGGCTTGATAAGCTCAAATGGTGGCGCATTATGGTCGTCAAATGGATACGTTGCAACTACAGATAAAAAAGAGCAAGTTAACCAAACGTACCATACCATATCCATGAAATATAAGGCCACAGACAAATGAGGAATGTCGATCGCCCAACAGAATCAAATGTTATTGAGCGACCTATTTTTTTAGCCACTTTGCTTAAAAGTGTGTAATGCTTGATATGGGATCAATCATATTGGTGAACTTAGAAATTAATGTATGTACAAAATATAGATTTAGAAATACGTTATTTCCTGAGACTTGCCGCTATATTTTTATATAATTATTGTGGACCTCTAGAACACTAAAAAGACTTGTCAACACTGATCTTTTAATTTTCTCACCTCTTTGATGGAATTTTGATGGGTCATACTGCCTCTCTGAACATCTACAATAAGAGCATTAACACAGTTCACATCTGATGTCTTATTTACAATAATCACTGATACAATAACAATGCAGTACTTACAAGTTGTAGACTTTGTAGTGATCCTTATGTCGTTGCTCCAGAAACCTAACAAAGACAAGAAATATTAGTTAAAAAATTCATAAACGTTTTAGTGTAAACAAAAAAATTTAAACATGCATGTATTTAGTGAGTTTTGGGTATTAATTTCTGCAACACAGGGAGACAAAACATTATGGTATTTGACAAATAAATGTTCAAAACATGGTATAAAATGAGTGCTTTCATTTATTGTTTGCTAGCAAACACTCTATCATTCTATTGATACTCTATTTGCATTACTGCATGCCTGTTCAATATAATTACAATACATCTTCTCATAATGAATATTCCTTCGCTGTTATGAACAGCAAAAGGTGCAATAACCTTTATTTACTACAAATTCTACATAATTTCTAATTCATGCAATACAGTGTGTTTACCTATAAACTTCGTCCATGTGATTCCGATACACTCCTTCAATATTCTCCGAAGGGAATCCCATAGCAACAATATTTGGCTTGATGTCTACATAGCAGTTAAGATCAAACATTTTACTCTAGTAATAGGAGAAATAAAGTATTTCTTTACCAAATACAATATGATTACATTAAAGCATTAAAATGATACCATACTTTGCTAAGGTAACCAAAATTATAAACAAGATACCTCTTTATGAAACCATATCATGAAATCTAACTAAAATCAATGTGTTTCCTGTGATATAACATGAGATCAAAGCAGCTTAAAATGGTTTGACATGTGTTCAACACAAATATATAATCAACAGTTTTTACACGACATGCATTTATCAAAGATTTTGAAGAATTTTACAGTAAATGTGATGAAGCAATCAAAGAACTAATTAAAGTTATACATTTTATTATTATTATTATTTTTGAAGGAATGCATTCCAGGATATTGGGAACAATCTTAAATCAATCTTAACTTCCGGTTACCATCTTATGCAATGAACATGCAACAAGCCCTGTTTATACGGAACGTTGATCAAAGTAACTCATGAAATCGAAAGAGTTCTTCCTTCAGCGACAAAAGCCAAGGAGAAAGCTCAAGTTCAAATAGCTTTTTCCAAGTAATTACGCGGTTATTTTGGAACTATTTAAAATTGAGGGAAAGAGATTATGTTAGCATTTTAAATTGTTCAATAATTTCTGAAAAATTTACAAAACGGTTTCAAATATTGTACATGTAGACCAAGGCGGAAGTGAACGACAACGCAAGCGCCTTTTATAGTTTCCACATACGATCAAAATATCTACGAATAAATATCAAAAGAACGTTTATGCTTGATCAGAATGTAATGATTTTGGAGTCTATATGTATATACAGTAGCCTTAAATGTAAGTTTTACACTCGATCGATCTAAGAAGAGGTCGTAAGAAGCTTGCTAGAGTTGCTTGAATATCGTGGCATTTTGGAACGACTGGGTTGATTCTATTTTTTCTTCAGCAAATGTAAATTCGAAGCTTTGAAAAGCTAAGAAAATACTCGTAGTTAATATACACTTCGTAAAGATAGGAATAAAGAATTAAGCAAAATTAATTATAACTTCACAGCTTGGTATTCACGCAGGAGTAGGTAACCTTACTAGATAAAATTTAAGCGCGATTCACAATTATTGTCCCAAAGCAATTTACTTCTAACACTTCTCACAAAGGATACAGGTCAGGTCAAGGTCGAAACCTCCTTCCTTGAACCTTCTCTTCTTCTTGCTGACAAGTTGTTTGAAGTATGACATCTTGTCTCCCCACACCTTGGCCTTCAGAAACTTCGAAACTTCTTGATTTCAGTCCAAAAAGATCACTAATTCCTCCAGAAACTTGTCATGGGATTACAGCACACCAGCCTTGCAAGCTTGCTCAAAGATGTGGTGAATGTTTGATGTGTTCTATGCGAAGAAAGTACAAGGAATAAGGTAAGGCAAGACTAACTTTCAAGGCCGCTTCTTGTCCGCCATGACAGTACTGAAGAAGGAAAAACACCTACTGGAATACCATATATGGGAATTTACGAGTAGGAATGGGAACGAAGTCGGAGGGAGAAGAGAAGGGAGGGGAGACAAACGAAAATGAACAGAAATCCCTCGCAAATCTAGATAATTTCAATCTTACGGTTTTTTTTACAGAAGACTAATTTCTTACATTTTAATAGAGTGATTGGCGAAGAAAAGAATACTTTAAAAAGATGAAATTTGGATTGAAAATAGCGCTGATGTTAGGCGATTGTGAAACAGTTAAAGAAGCTACAAGAAGACAAATTTGACAGGCGCAAAATCGAAGTTAATGATTTTGATGGAACTTAAAAATTTCGCCATATCTCAAAGTGCTTTTTGAAAGCGCATTTATTTTGGATGGAAGTAAAACTGTGTCATCGAGTGGTTTGAGCTTAGTTTCTTTAGGGGTGAAAATCACCTTCTCAATAGAATGATAAATTGTGCGTTAATTGAAACGGAGAGATGTTTTGAGAAGAGGAATAAAGAAAATACGGGAAGTGAGGTCAAAGACAGTGTGAAATGCTGTGAATCAAATCAACAAAAAGATGCGAGAGATTGAACTCCACTGTGATTTCAAAAAAAACCTATAGAGAAAGGAAAAAAATCAAAACGGAAAATGAAATTTTAAAACATGATAGATGGAAAAGTTGGAATGACAAGGAATAAATACCCGGAGGTTAAATCATGATGTAAGTTGCATCGTCGTACTGAAAAAAAGTGCCATTTAAAACTCGAAAGCTAAACCCATATCATTAATACTTATCGGGACGGTAAAATACGAATGGCAATTAAAACGTCAAATGTACTTGCAACACATGTCAAATTAAAAAATCCTTATTTTATGACATCCTCCCACATGTTCCGGCGGACATATTCAACCTTCATTATATCTTCCCTTCACTTTCAAATCATTAAATAATGTCCTCATTGTGACATGGCAGTTTTTCATGAGGAACAAAATGAGGACTTAAAGCTCTTGTCATATCGATTTTTGTTTTTAGTGCTTGGGAAATCGTTTACATAGACTTCCGAACCTCGGACCGCCATCTTGGATTTCAAACTTGACAGTTTTTGTCAAAGACTGTTTGCCACGAGGAACAACAATCATGAATCAGCAAAAATTTCATGACATGTGTTTGCTATTTCTATTTCTGGAAAGTTGTCTTGCATGTTTTTGCTCAGAATTATTCATTTTGGTCAGAATTCCGGATCATTTTGGGATAAAAACTGTCCGCCATCTTAGGAAAAAGTACCCATGATGCACTTGATATAGGGACATATGTTCAAGCAGCAGTCATAGAATTTTTACAAACGAGTTTATTTTATTCAAAATATGCATGTATTCGTTTGTGATTAAACTTCATGTACGCCTTTGGCTCATCGCCGATGTAACAATCAGTTAAGTTTTTGATTTGGCATACCTTTAACGTCACGCATACGTAACAACGGTCGCACCGAGGATGCTCATATCAGAGTTATAACGAGATGACGACTTAAGCGATGTGCAAATGTATTTAAAACCTTCCATTTAAACTGACATATAATCCTTTCAATTAAAGACATTACTAGCTTTATACATTTTTTCTATTAATATAATGAATGCATCGATTAAGTTTGGTTATATCACAGTATGTTTTTTATAGAATATCAGCTAACTTGGCTTGTATAATTCTTCATATCAACCTTAACCTCATCCAATAATTCTTTTTATTATCATTCAATCAAGATGAATCTTGTAGGAAGAGATAAAAGAAATCGAAAGGTTTCATAAACCGTTATACATTACTGAACGACTAAAGTACAATTGTTCAAGAATCATATGTTCAAAAAATAYTTACTTTCAGAAACAAAAAACCTTTCAACTCTCGTCGCTTTTCGAAATGATTATTATTTACTTTTGACTTATGAGCCGATTTCTCTTTATTTGATCTGCAGTGCGCGCAATCGCCCGGCATCTGCACCGGCAAAAGCAATTTTTCATTTCTTTAATTTCAGTTTTTTCTCGGCTTTAACGCCTAGAATTTAAAATATGGTAGATCATATCACTGTCTCATTTTGAAAATATTAGAATAATTGTTATGACGAGAGAAATTGCTTGAGTCAATATATGAGTTTATTTGCGAAAAAAAAAACAAATTTCCATCGCCAATAAAACTCATCATCGGATCAGCCAGTAGATCACCGACTTCCTTCACAAAACATCATCAAAACATTGGATAAAATCTTGTATATCAAGCGAAAAAGCGTCAATCTTAATCATTAGAATTCCGATAGGAGCTCATACTTTGAAACAGAAAAAAAAACATCTAAAATTTATATATGCATAAACCTTTATTGTCAAACGTTGTCATAGAGAAATGTATAGTGCGAAAGGAATAAATAAAACTATAAAAGAGTATTTATTTATAAAAGCATTTTTCATTCTCTCTTTGATATTCCTTTTGCACAAAACTACAAATATCTATTTCTTGAGGATACCATTTTTGCAATTAGGTGGAGTTATATATGGAAATATTACGATGTTTTTGTTATTTGTGACGCGAAAGCGCCGTCAATATGATTGCGTGCTCGAGGGATGCTCAATATTTTGACGATTTTGAAATTATGTGCTTGTTGAGTATGATTTTTAATCACAAGCATCCGTTGAATATGAGGAAAATGGCGCGGCACTACAGTGCAGGCTTTCAAGATCTCTCGTTAGCGACTTGAAATAAAAAAACTCTCCCCTGACAACTTCACTCAAAGTAAATAGACACGTTTATTGAATTATGGCAATCATTATTCAAGACCATTTGCGGCATAATAAATGATTATTTTAATTTCTCTATGTTGCTCTTGACAGAAATATTGCTTCACTTCACTCGTAATTCTAAAGTTGGTTTCCATTACAAAAGCATTCCACCTTCTTCTTGACATTTTGATGATGGAATTAGCGTTTCCTTGATACATATGCAAAGAAAATGCCTTCTAGGTCATTTTCGATTCATTGTGAATGAATATTTGATATGAATTTCAGCTCAAGACTATTTAAAGCCGAATGAATAGGCAAATTATCTTCAGAATTGAAAATTGACTCAACCATGAGACTGGGTATTCGCTGAGTGTGTCGCGCGTCCGCACAGCAATGTGGAATTTCCTCATGATCATTAACCCTGGAGAGATTTTACTTGATTTTTTGATATCTCCATCATTTTTGGATGCGCCTCTTGTTCTCGTATCTGTAGAACACGTTATGATTAAAAACATAATCTTGTAGCGCGGTTTTTTCCGTTTTGTTTTGAAATAAATAGAAAAACATCTCATTTCTAGCGCGAAATTCCTACATTGTACTTCCACTTTTCAGTCATCGGATCGATCCAATTACACCGTGCATTTCCACTTTTTTTAGTTAAATAAGCATGGTTAGAAGACTAAGAACAGAATTATTGCTGTTGTTGATGATTTTCTTCCTTAACCACAAACATGGACCTTTGAAAATTTAAAATTCATGTTTTGTGTTTTGTATGCGTGCGTCCATTCCATAACGCAGGCTCTTCCGATGATTTTTACAATAAATCCTTGAAACTCAAACCAGATATATGCGATAAGATGCGCAATTACCAACCCCGAATTGTTAAGAACTGCCATTTCTTTCTATAAACTTGTATGTAGCTTTAGTGATAGATATTACTGTACATTTTACTTGGCATTCTGATTTTCCACTGCGAAAGCTATCAATGAGCCACGCAGCTGGTTTCCAATGAATGAATTCACTGTTCCATTACCACAGCACTCTCAAAACATCAAGCCGGCTGGCTCTACACACGGCTAAACAACAAGAAGCTATCCATCCATTTTGTCAAAAAAACTATATCTCGTAAACTTAAATTTCCGTGTCTATGAAGTTCGATTGCGGCGCACTTCGACATTTGAAAAGCCATTGCTCAATTTTGTTCGTCTTTCGATGTGATTTATCTAAGCTCTCGCATGATACAGTCGTCCCAGTGACGCGAGCTAGCGCCTCTTTTAAATTAGCCTCTGTTAAACTCAGTGATGCTTCATCTTGATCTCCGTCCCATGAAAGGCGATCATCAGAAGGGCTTCTAGTCACATTCGGCGATCCTCTTTCCGAGAAATCATCGCGATCAAACAAGAGATCTCGGCTCACTGAAAGCCCTTGTATCGTCATTGTTGAGAGATTCGATCCGATGTCTATTTCTGAGCATCGCATCATTTCTTGCTTTGACGCAATCATCATATTTATATAATCCATGGTCTTATATCTACGGCTCATGTTTGTGAGTCTGTACTTGGACCAGGCACGTAGAATGTCCGGACAATCATCGTAAAAAACCTCCTCTTCTAGATTACTAGGCAAAGACCGCCAGCGAGGAAGATCGTTCCAAGATCCGTCACTTTCGTTATAACTTGCTGCGGTTAGAAACGATGTACATGAGAACCGATCCGTGGCTAGAGAAGCACGGGACATTGGTTTTTTCATTCTTAGTCTTCGTGGGTAGCTTGTCGAGTTATTTGGTGTTATAATCACTGGAGGATTAGGTGAAGAATCGACGCTCGACTCCATAATGTTGATATTTCTGTCCAAACTTGTCGGCCCACGGATTTAAACGTTGTTGCCACGAAACGGCTTGAACGTGTATAACTCCTCAAACCAACACCACTGATCCAGTGCTCCTTTGGAATAAGCAAACAGGGTAACAAAACTCAAGATGATGTCATTAAAAAAGCTTGTGATTGGCTGATAACACTAACAATTAATCCTACATCATTCGATATTGACTGTGAGATAACGCGAAGAGGATTTTGACAAGTAAGCCATCTAGTACATAAATGCTTTATAAAAAAAACTGCACATTACATTAAGATGGAGTCGCATATGTTCATTATCACTGAAATATAATTCAAAGTTTCAGATAAATACGAAACATATGGCATTTTTTAAATAGGATTTTGATAAGTAAGACCTTCTACTGCATGCAATGAAAAATGCTTGGAAAAAACTTTACATTCATTAAAATTGAGTCGTATTTTTGTTCATTATCATAGAAATATAATTAAAAGTCTCAAATAATACCAAATATTTATTTTTATTTTTAAATAAGTTGTATTTCTAAATTATCATAAGAGATCCAGGAAGTTGTTAAATATATAAAAAAAAACTAAAAATGAAGAATCGACATATTTGTGTATATTATGTATTTATGGGCAGGTCGCCATTCTTAAAAATAATTTTTTCATATCTCTTCTGGTCTGCCACAGCAGGATATTTTACGCGATATATTCGCCGCAGATATTCTTGCTCTTTAAGGGCTGACTGTCTAATTTTTATTCAAAAGTGGTTCATTGTCTCGCTAGAGACCATCTTTAATTATTTATGATAGGCAAGTGTTTCCGGTTTTGGCTGTCTAGAAATAGTCCACAAGAACATCTGATCATGATGCATTTCATCCCCAAATTAGAACATATGATCGTGATGCATTTCATCCCGTTAAATTAGAACATATGATCTTTGATTCATTTCATGTTAAAGTTAGAGCATATGATCGTAATTTTCTTTACTCCGACGAAGGATTAACATCCGAAACGTCAGTAAGTTATTTCCCATACTTTTTTACGGTGTTAAACTTATCTTTTTTACACAACTGATCATAATTTGATTTATACATTCAAATTGTATGATGAGTAGTTCATGCTCAAATTAGAATATATGATCATGATTCATTTCATCGTTAAGTTAGAACACATGATCACGATGCAAATATGATATGGTGATTCATTCATTCTAAGGTTAGATCAAATCATTATAATTAGATCATCCCGCGCGGCTCAAATTAGAACATGATCGAACATGTGATCATGATGAAACCGGGTGTTCTCAGGATTAAAATGTGTTCATTAATTGAAGGAAATCGTTCATTCATTCATGTGACCTTATATTAGTTCTATCCATTCATTTGTTCATTTTTGAATGTTAAGAAGATAATCTTTTTGCCGGATAATCTTGTATTAGAACATTTGATCATGATGAATACATGTCCTGGATGTTCTTGTTAAAGTGCTCACGATGGGTTGAATTTTTTATTCATTAGATTTTTACTTTTCATCCATTTATTCCAGATCATTCTCGAATGTGTTCGCGTGACATAACCTTGTATTAGAACATTTAATCACGATAAAATACATAGCAGCTGACTGCATGCATTCGTTCGATTGAATGAGTCATTTTTTACATCTTTTGTTTATAATTGTTGTCTTTAGAACTTTTTATCATGCATGAAATAAATGATGTAGCCTGTTCGATTCCTTTGATTCGTAAATTTTCAATTTTTTAATAACAGTCCACTTTCCCAGTATGACTTAGTGTTCGATAACCTTGGATTCGAACTTTTGATCGCGATAAAATTCATGTAACGATGATGTGTTCGATTGAACGGCTCATATATGCGTTCTAATTGATCATACGTTCGATTCCTAAGATCACCTTCGTTAAACATGATAAAGTACATAACGATAAGCCTGTTCCCCTCGTTCGTCAAGTTTGATCTTCTGATAATCATTGATTATTTGAAAAGCTACTCCCCCTGATCAATATTCATTCATTCATTTGTTCGATCCGGTCTTTCTTCCTCGCTGCATACTCATGGGCGCAGGTTATTTATGATTTCTCTGTTTATTCATTCATTCGTTCATCCATCCATTATATTCGTCAGCTCAATTAAGTCGTTGTCTATCAATCTATCTGTTAGTCAATGTAGTTTATCATCCAACCATTAGTCTGTCGATTAATTTCTCCAAGTTGCTTCCATTTATATATCATCATTCTCCCATGCGTTTGCTCTTTCATTTATTCATTCATCCATCCGTTAATCAAGTCGTTTCAGTTGATACACCCGTATGTCTGTAAATTTGCTTATAAAACTCATTAATATTCATAAGGCAAAACACAATAGAAATCATAGCCCATGAAGAGAGTTGTATATTACATACAGATTTCTTGTTCATTTGCATAAACTTTAACTCTGATTTTCTCGGTCAGATTGATATTTTTTTTCAAAAGTTTCTTTAAAACCTGAGCTAGTTTACCTCAACGTTTCATAAGTAATATACAATATTCGCGGGCGATCTGTATGAGGTTTAAAACAGCTCGCTTTCAGCTCGCTGTTTTAAATCCTCATACAGATCGCCCGCTCATATTGTATATATTACTTATTCATTCTTCTAATCATCAATCATCATCTTTGCGACATTATTCTCTCAATTCAACCATTCACTTATTCATTTGTTCATCCATCCCTCCCTCCCTCCCTTCCTTCCTCCCTCCATCCCATCCATTCACTTTCTTATCCTTCCATCTATCCTTTGACTATTAATTCACTTTTCATAATATTGAAATGAAATACAGAGGAGCTGATTGCACCAACTTAAACGTGGATAAAATCACCCTGCAGATAAAGTTTCTTGCTCAAAAGAGCTATATGGATTCTAAACACTGGGCAAGGATTATATTTATCAATTGGATATAACTCTTCGTAGAACCGGCCCCAGATGTGTTCATTTTTGTTTTTGATGCTATTGTCAATCACCCGTCCTCTAACATTACAATATACTTAATGTATACTTGTCTTGTTTTCTTAGTGTTTATTTCCGTCCATTATATTAATCCATTTTCCCGCCAATTCACTTGTCACCGTTTCGTCTCTACTTAAATGATAATCTTGACTTGCTCTAAGTGTCAACACAATCTTTTTTTCTCAAATAGACGGGCTGCCTGTGCTGGCTTGGTGAGAGTAGGAATAATACTCAAACTATGTTTGTAGCAATGCATGGACAATGAATATTAATTAGCAATCCTTTTCTAATGAAACACAACATGAATTCTCTATTATTTCATTGTATGGTTGAGTCAATTCATACAGTCAATCTCTTTTAACGTTGTTCACTATTTGAAAATACATAAAAAGCAACAACAAAGTTCAGTTGGTAAAAAAGGGGTTTTCAATCCCCGCCAAGGATTTTGATTCAAAACATCCAGATCATGCTTGCATGTTAAATGCTATTGACATTGTCAGAAGTTTTGGGACTTGAGGTCGAATAATGTTGCAAAAAAAGTACAAATATAATGAGATTGTTTTTATATCTTCAAAATCGAAAAGCGCTAGTGGGATTGACTGTAAATGGTGTTTGGGGAAAAGTGCAAAGATTCCAGTAAAAACCAGCCCTCTCGAATCATCAATAGAAATAATTTTGAGTTTCTCCATCATCCCTTGGTCGGCCATCTTGTATAATGACAAATGGAAATGAACAACGATATTGACACATTGACTATTAAACTTTATTTTTGGGTTTATGAAAACCACCATACTATCAAACAAAAATAGCATCTCTAGACATCGATCAATCATTCAAGAATATAATCGGACACACATTTTCAAAAATAACAAAAATATCACAAAGCGAACATTAAAATGTCAGGTGAAGTTGAGAAGCCCCTAGAGCGAGCAATCATACCTGTCTCGATGAGTTTGTTTTTTGCTGTAAAGACCGTTTATCCGCCTAGAGGGCATAACGAATAATGGACTTATGTGAAAAGTAATTATCATTGTGGTTCCTTGTTCAATGACTAATTGAAATTCATATATTTGCTGCTGAAATTACACCTGCTCAGTTAGTATAACATCCTTGGACTTATTTTCTTGTCCATTTAACATATTTATTTTACCTACCTTTTTATGGTGTTAAATTTACCCTTTTACGCAACTGTTTCTTTAGAAACACCGACGCAGCTCGCACTAGTTTACCGCTAGTTCCCACCATCTAACATGGATTGATATTCGTACAATCACCTGAGGCTGGCATAGTATTGTTTTGATATCAATTCCATTACTAAGTAATTTATCAACTTGACGTTCTCATTACCGTCGAGGCATCATCGTTGTTGTCATCGCCATCACCCTCGTTTTAAAAGTTTCAGTATACACTTTCTTTGGTCGCTTAATGCGGCATTTTCTGTATTTTGTTCAGGTTGCCCGTGAACCACCTTTCACAGCCAAATGGTAAAAAAACTGAAAAGAAAATAGAAAAAAAAACAAAGAAAAGAAAAAGAAATATTAAGGCTGATGCAATGGAAAGTGAAGATCTGTTCATTGAGAATTCTATGTCTTCTTCAGTAGCTTTACCATCTTGGTCATTCATATCCAAAATGTTATAAAATTTCATTCAGCTCTAGTTTGAGCTGCGATGTTAAGCTCAATAAAGTATCTATTCGAGTACCTCTCTGTTTCTTCAAAGCCGAAAAAGTCTTCTTCTTGACCCTGAAAGGACTTGGCAATCATCATGACATCACCCTGAATCAGTTTCGTCATCCAAAACGCATCTTCTCGCGGGAACCATAAAACCTCCTCTTCTAATCCAGACTTCTTCAAAACCTATTTGTACCGGGTTTTTTTCTTCCCTGTCATCACATGGCATATCTTTTGGCAATTTTTCTAGGCCTCAATATATCCGTCCTCATTTTGTTCATAAGCTATCATTTTGCATGCTTTGGTTGAATCTGCAAAAAGAAGTTTTATCTTTTGTTAAAATTGCTTTTCATTTATATCAAAACTGATTGGCCACATCTAAAGTAGAATGCCATTATTAATTATTCCTCAGTTACAAGAATCAATTCATTATAAATTTATTAGTCGAAAGATTATATAGACACTACAATTGTAGCTAGGCCTAAACTGTCTTCCATCGTTGTATTTTTTCGAATGTAGTTTGTTTGTTTTTGTTTTTTTTACACAGGGGTCGTTGTGGGCCAAGTACCAACGTCACCTCCCGTTGCCACCTCGCCAGCTCACACAACATCAAAAAACAAGCATAACTTGTAGATCCTGGGTGACAAGACAAAAGATGTTAAAGAATTCTTACCAATAAATGATGACACGAATCATAAAACCTTTTTCAATTGAAAATATACTTACTGAATACCATCCTTTGTTGTGTTCATCGGGTTTCTCTTAAGCTCTTTTGGGATTTTGGAGGGCACAAAAGGTTTTGCTATTAAACAGCGTGTAGTTTCATTGAGGTAGTTCTTGCTTCAATGCGTAATGGCAAAGAAGGGTTTAATTGCATGGATCAATGATAAATTATACAAACAAAAAAGACACGCCGCCGAAAGAACTTGGATTAACACAAAAGCAAGATTGTGAAGGTAAATAATGATGTGAAAGTCCCTTAAGCAGCGAAAATTCAAAACAAAACTAAATCGAGCTAAATCAAATCCTTAAGTTCTCTATTTGCAAATTTGGAAATGTCAGATGCAACACTTGCATATCGGACAATTAAAGCTGACTTCATGGAAATTATTACATAAAAACAAAGCTGAATTATGTATGTATAAGTGTAGAGTCTTGAAAGTTTCATTGCGTTTATAATTTTGCTGAGTACAATTCTGAATGTGGGAATGTTTCAGTGACATCTTGTCTCAGAAATGGTAAATTGCGGAAATTCTTTTGCATCATTTGAATTCTTTTATTAGTCGTTGTTAAGGTAAATTATGTTCAAAAAATTCCTTTTATTCAAGAGATTACAAGAATTACTGTAATTATTTCAAATTAGCTGAAATCATAATTCTGGATGCATTTTTGAAAGATCGAAAAGTGCATGATTTGACACTAGAAATTGTGCACGAGCCGCTGCTTCGTCCATTTCTTCCTGTACTTGAAAATTATTTGCAACTTCATCAGTTTTTGCTCGGTTTCTCGTTATCTTCGAGTATAATTGTGCGGTTTTATTTTGAAATTCAAAGAGGGATTCAATATTTCTGAGCAATTAGCTATTGTTATCAAGCACTTATGTTGAATTAATTCTTATTCTTGTGGGTTACATAAGCCAAGAAGTCATTATACGTACAGCCAGAATCAAAATAAACAAAACAGTAAGCAAAAAAGGCATATTTTTCGTATTTAAGTAGTCTAAATAACTACATATTTCCATAACAGTCGTTTTAAAAGTAGTTTTTTATTATTAATTAAGAAAATATTGAGGAAATTCTATTTGAATAAGATAGTTTACTTGGTAGCCCAGGTGCCAATCGGGACATGAAGCGTGAAACGTCTTCAATTTTTGTTCGGGATGATGTAGTTGATGTGTGAATTTTGCCCTTCTGTCAAATCTCCAATTCACCTTTCCAAATAAATATTTAATTTCAGATCAAAAGCAAAGTAAACATTGAAAGACAAAGCTTTAAAATATAGGGCAAGCGTCCAGTTATTTGAAATAATATTTGGTTATGATGACGTGGTAGGCAAAGGTCCCAAGAGTGTTCCGTCAAAAGATCATAATTCAATTGATATTGAGCAATGTACTTAGCATAAAATCCACGTTATACGCTAATCAAGGAGAGAATGAAAAAAGCTAAAACGTCTCGTAAGCCAAGTACTGATGTAGTACTTCGACAAGCTATCGAGGACAATGATATTGCACAGCTTAAGTTTGTACTTCGCTTTGAGAAAGAAAAGATTAATGACCAAGATGAAAATCAAATGACAGCCTTACACTGGAGTTGTATTTATGGACGAGCTGAAATGGTCGGTATTTTACTCGATAATGGAGCTGACATTGAAAAGAGAGATTCAAAAGGATGGACAGCTTTGCATTTCGCAGCAAATGGCGGCTATCTTGATGTTGTGGAAATGCTGTTAGCTTCATGTGTTGAAGTTGCCGCGACTTCTCATGATGGTAAAGTTGCCATCGATGTCGCTCAAGGCGAGGGAATGGTTTTTCTTCTTGCTACTGGTTTTATTAAAGCTGGCAAAGAGGACTTTTTGTTGAAATATTTTAGTGACTCAACAAGTAGTCTTCGCTCTATTGAAGAAAATCAAGAAGAAAATAATGTCTACATGTCGCAGCAGAATTTACTTGCGGCGGAAATATGGCGCGCTAGCCAGCAACTTTTACTTCAAGACTTTTCTACAAGTTCTCACTCAAGAGCATCCTTTAAAATGTCAACAAGCGAATACGGAATTTGTAAAAACGCAGTTAACAGAGAAAAGGAGTCACAAAACGAAGCTTCACACGATCAAGGAAAACGCTCCACTCTAATGCCACAGGATCAACAAAAAGTCAAAAAAGGAGACAAGTTTTTAACCTTACCAAGAAAACAAAAATTAAATAATTTTGACTCAGCATTCGCGCCGGGTGTTTTGAGACGACTGGCCGTGAGCGAGACCAATTTAAACCTACCACATTCGCTTGATTGCAATAACAACGAGAATAACAATATGAATTGCGCGGTCAACACGAATCAACCAAGCAATTATTATGCGTTGAACTCGGTTGATTCAGAAGCATTTCATACTGCTGCAGAGAGCATGATCTAACCTTGAGCTATTTTTGATGTTTTTATATCTGCTCAGTAAACAGGTTAATTAAACATACAAGACAAAGCTGACAAGTTACTTTAGAAAGCTCCTATGACGGATTATCGAAGGAATGGGAGACGACGACGGAAGATTGGAGTTTTGCCACACGCGCGTGAATGTGCCATCTTTGACATTTTATCAATGTTGCAATTTATTTTCAACATTTCTAGACATAACAACGTTTGACCATCTTTGAACAAACACAGCAAGATATAGTCTATACGGCACTTATAAACAACCTTCAAAAATAACGACCATTTTTACTATATTTTCTTAGAAAACATTGTCTCATATTTGAAATAGCTATAAATACGTAAGTTTCAAAGAAATTATTCCGAAATGAAATATAGTCTTAGGTTTCTCTGAAAAATTATTATTCTGAAATAAATGTTTTTTCTAATGTTTTATTTGTGAGCCAGTGACAAGCTGACGTACGCGCACGCAAAAAAAACTAGATGTTCGCTTTTAGATTATAAGTCAGTCCAGCCTTGCGATGAAAGATGGTGGAAACAGCAAACGTTTTGAAATGTTTAAAAGTGCGTCGGAGTAAGAAGAAACGCGCTTTAAAGCATCGAAATACTAAGAAAGTAGAATAGCTATGAATTGACTTTATCTCTAATCTGCAAATTAAAAACCAATTTAAAGGCGAAGGAATGTTCAAGGAAACCTTCGGAAAGTTGTAAAGGAAGTAATAGCTAATAATATCTTCTGTGCAAACATACATGACTTTGTACAAACAAATATTGACCTTTCAAAAACACAATTTTAAAGTAGATTTGACAGCAAAACTCAATCTTCAACTGCAAAATAAAAGGGGTCAGCTTTCTACTCCGAATTTCGCATGTGACTTCAGGAGATAACTGTCGTGGCATGAGAAAAGCTCTTTGTTTACTATTTGACAAATTTTGGAAGATATCTAATATCTTTATATTTTATATCTTAAAAAACTATTTTTTTATATTAATAAACTCGCCTATGTTAAATTCAACTTAATTTTTTTGAGAACAGAGTTGAAAAGATGTCATTTCACAATTTGCAAGCTGCCGTATTTCTTTCATTATTGATTATTTAAAGCAAGGAAAGCTTTCAAATAATCATTATCACCTAAAACATCTATAATTCTAACAATTCCATTAATTTTAGATACTGTAAAACGCTTAGGCGACATTTCATGACACAAAACTTAAAATTGCGAGAAACGTTTATATAGAAACGATCTGGAAATTTTATTAAGATCTCATTTGCTAGTGAAAAGCGCCCGCACTCGTGGACGTGTTTATAACGATTTTATAAATCATATTTGCAATAAAATCTTGCAATGAAATAAATGTTTAGTATTATATTTGATTTTTTTGTATATGGGCTGCGAAAGTATAAAAAAATATATATTTGTCCAATGTAGCATGCATTAAACGATGACAAAGAACGACTTAAATTCAAAACAAATCAATCTCTGTCAACGCACTTTTCAAAAGTTTTATAAACAATCCAAACAATCTTAAACTGCACGAAACAAAATCACGGGTCAAAAACTGTCTTTCGTTTTGATTGATTGCACACATATGTCAAAATCCCTTGAGCGTCGGATTGATAAAATACTGCTAAAAGATTTCAGTCCAAAGTGCTCCTGAAAATCCCTCACAATCCAGCGGAATTCAGTCGTTGTATCAAGAAAAAGCGGCATCTCTTTAGGTGGAAATTACCCCAATCCTCTTTTCTAAAGCCAAAAAGATTAATTGTTCAACCTGGCTATTCAAGTATTCAATATGAATTGAAAAACTATATACAATCACAGTGAATAGCTAAGCTTGTGTATAATTCAGGATAATTGGTGCATCTAGCTAAAGCGGGAAATCTTTTGATGTTGTTGAGTTGTTGTATTTTGCGGTGTCCTTTATTACTGAGTAAAGAAAGCTTTTTTGTTGTTGCATGTCCTTGTTAGCAATTACACAGCTTAACAAACTTTCTTTGAGATGATTTACAGACTCATGTAAAAAAACAAGAACAAGGGATATGTTTTAGACCGTGAAAAAATATTTTGGGCAGAATTTGCAAAACGAGAGCATTAATCTTCTGCGATAGTATTTTAGTGTAGCTAGTGCCTTTGAATTAATGAATTTGCCTTGGTTTTTCACAAAACGTCCCTAACATTGATATTCTGTATTGTTTTTATATCAAAATATTAGTGAAAAAAATCGATTTCTTTCCTTTTTATAGTTTCGGTCGCCATGTTGGTTGTTGACTCCTGTAATCCAAGATGGCGACTCCAGATAAAAAATCCCGGGTAAATTTTTGCTTGCAATTGGACCAGAACATAAAGCTTTCAGTTCTCGTTTTAAGGCCATGAAAGTTTATTGCATTATCGAAGTTTTGAATTGTGTTTATGCGTTTAAAATTTGCCTTCCCTATCGAGTTGGATTGTGTTCGGCATGGCGTCGGAGCTACCTCGGTATTACATCGGAGCTGCATCGATATTACCTCGGAGCTGCATCCGTTGTTTTCATTGAATCACTTTTCATAAAACGATACATTTTTAACTGTAAAAAGAGAAAACTTGCTGGTGTTACAGACGGTGAGCCGCCGGAGCAAAAAATGATTACGGTTTGAAAAGCAATAATTTATGAAATTCAACCATTTTTGCAAGTCATGATTCATGAATTAACCAAAATACATTACAAAATTTTGCAACTTTGCCAGCTTATTGCTTTATACGACAGGTATAGTCGTTTAAGCGCGAAAGAGAAACAAATTAATACGTCACAATAGTCATGGCAATGTAGCGAGTCGCTACGTGACCACAAAGCTTAACGCAGGCAGACCAGCAATAAAAAAAAATATAAATAAAACTTGCTACAATTCAGATAAAATAAATGTTACTTTATTAAGAAAGATATATTTTGAGTTTTGAATACTTTTGAGATGATTTTAGAGTGAGAAATCCGCTAGTATTTTTGATTATGGGTTAGCTGTTGTTGTTTTGCATGGTTGGCATTACATCATGTTTCTAATTCAAAAACACTTAACTTATTCATGAGAAAAACTTGAATATGACCTCATGTACTAAAACCAAACTCATTTGTAATTGAAAAACAGTATAAATAAAATGTTTGTAGCAGAGTCAAGAGCATAACGTTTCATTCAGAATCACTTCACTGCAAAAAAGCGAATTTCAACAGAAAAAACAACAATATGGAAGCCATAGCAAAAACACTTTACTCGATAGTCAACTCACCTCAATTCGACAAGGAACAGCTCTGTGGAGAAAAACTTAAGCTATCGCAAGCATTTTGCTTGCTTTGGCACGATGCAAAGTCTGGAGACGTTTGTGGAAGACAGTGCAGCGATGAAAGCAATGCAGGTGTACTTGCTGCCATGCTTGTTGATCTAGCAGCCCTCGACAAACTCGAGTTCTTCAAGGATACAAAAACCTGCGTGTTAGGACTCAAGTGTGATTCTATTCTTCTGAAGGTAATTTAGCCGATTCTTAGGTGTTGCATGTTGGAGCAGTTGCACTCGCTTTTTGTAGTATAACCAGTGATATTTAATATCATTAAACCAGTGAAACAAAATTTGACTATTTAAGTGTGCTAGTCAAATAGACACAAAAGAAATCAATACAATTATTCACTCTCTCGTTCGAAAAATATTTTTTTCCACCGTATTTTTAGGTCAATGATACCAAGCCTACAGAGACCTTTCTCGACGCTGCTATATTTGACAAAATACTTGAGCTTCAGCGTCAGAATCCTCACAAACCAATCGTAGTAAAAGATTTGCTGAGCAAGTACAGAAAAGAAAGTGGAACCATCGCTTTGGACAGTTTAGTCAAACTTGACATTCTTGGCTTAGAGATCGAGAAATGCGGTAGCCACAAATATCCTACTCTTAAGACTGGTAAGGTCAATAAATTGTTTAATTAAGAATAATTAAGACATGGATGTGTATTGATGATGATAATGATAGTGGTGATGATGATAATGATGATTAGGCCAACAATAATCAGCGACATCGATTGTTATTTTCGTCATCATCAACATTAAATAAAATATAAGTCTAGAACAAGTTTCGCGAAAAGCCTGCCGAGGTTTTGCACAAAAGCGATACAGAATCGAGCAGTAACCCAAAATTTTCCTTTTTAGCCTATTTATCTTTTTGCAATGTCAGGAAAAAATCTTTGTGGTTGAAAAAGTTATGATTATTTTGACATGACTTGGCAATATTATTGTTCATTTGAGGGCTGCAGCAAACATAACATGTTTCCCTCTTTTGTCGATTGTAACTAGTTTTCACAAACGTCTCTAACCAGTTCAATCTAATTATTATATATTATATTATTCTAGGAATTTCAGAAGATTTGAAATCACAACTTCGCGCCTTCGCGTTGGACGGCGCCGAGCCCAGCAGTTACCTCAGAGCTTTGCTTACATTAGCGCGTTGTTCAGACAGCGAACAGATTGGAGCTCCTGTACTGAGGAAACACTTTACCCAGGAAGAGTACTACTGCAAAAAGGCCAAAGAGAACTTAAACGCATTAGTGAAAACTACAAAGAAATGCAATTGCAAATGTAATGCTGAAAAGAAATAATCCTGGAAAATATTCCTCTTTTGAAATGCGAACTCGCGCACTCTCTAGTCGTGCTCCCAGTTTTTTTATATTATATGGGATTGGTTGAATATAGGCAAACTATTGGTTCATGTTGTTTTTTCTTTTAAAAATGTATTTAGCAACATAGCTCCACAATTTGCATTTCATATTTTAGAAAATAAATTAAATTTAAAATAGTCTTACACAGCACGAGGCGATTATAACAACAATAGCTCAATGTTTTGGCTGAAAACGTTCTCTTGAAATACATATATTCTCACTCAAAGAACATAAATGTAGACATAATTTACGTACTCAAATGCTCTACGAAGTTGTATCCACCATTTATATACATCAATAATATTGTAAATTTATTTGATTATGAAACAGATTAAACTTCTTATAAACATAGTCAGTAGTATATTTTGGTGCTTCAAATTCGCTATGAATTCGTGATTTTTGATTTTCTTGGATGTTTATGTTCATACTCAAGTAAACACATTGTTACGAAACTCAGTCTGGAATAAACCCTTTTAGCGATTTCTTTTACGCTGTGTTAGCCTCAAAACCATGTAATAAGTTATTTTATTCACAACAGTCTGTGCAAATGCAAGGGGCTGAAAGAGATCTGCGAGAATAGAAGACAATGGAAATAGTTTGAAATCTCACGAGTTTTACATCTACATTTCTGAATATTTTGGCACACAATTGAGGCTAACACAGTGTAAAAAAGATCGCGAAACTCAACTATTGTACAATTTATTCAAGTTATTTTACACATCAATCATATCAATATACATTCTTCCTTCTATTCTCCCTTATTCTTCTCTACCAGCCCTGCCCTCTCTCTCCCGTCCCTTATTGCCAGCTTCACACACGCTGCATACGACGGACTAGTTTTATCAGCTGTCAAGATGGCCTCGCGTCCAATAAAATAATATCAATAAAACCACTGTAATTACGGACAATTAAATCAATATGATTTGAACTTGATCTACGATTGTTAATACCTGTTTAGTGCAAGCCTAATTCCCACTAGAGCTTCAAAAGCTTAGTCTTGATACTAACTTGTAGATTGAATGCTATTTTGGCACATTGCGCGCGCAATTCACAGCGAGTTACCCGTGATTATAAGGAAGGAAACGGACGTTGAGAGTCTAAAACATGGATAATTCCTGTGTTCTGTGTTAATTTAAAGCACTATTTACAACGAAATATAGTAGTAAAGTTTGCATGCTTTTAGCGTTTTGTAAACTAAACTGAAGTAAAAACGCGTAAAATAAATCTTACACTAATACACATTAGTACACTCTAATTGCATTGTTTTCTTTTGCATCCGTTTGACTATCACATTTTAAAAGTCAAAATTTTGTTTCACGGGTTTGGTGACTTACTGTGCTATTTTAAACTATCTGGTCAGTACTTTTTCACGCTTTAGTACTCCAATCTATCACAACGACTGGACGCTTTTAAATTCAAACGAGTAGATTGTCAGCTAACATATTCTATGTTTATACAACTAACCATTATCGATTTTACATCTATTCTATAGCTACAGAAACGTGAGTTGTTTTACCCACAAATGTTACAATATTTCTTGATCGGCGTCAGTTTCCTCAATCGCGCGCGCGTTGGACCAACGCTGCGTATTCTACATAATTCTCAGAGTCAGCTGAATAAACTCTTAAACAGAACTCTTGTGCTTTCTCGTGACAATTCCGTTCCATTCCTAAAGCAGTTGTTATAGTCAGACAATAACTGTGGTCCAAGCAACAGCTTGGGGAGTTGGTCAAACATGATATTGGTGGCGATTTTTGCTAGTTTGGTGTTCACAAACATTCATGGGACGTACGGTGTAAACTTAGAACGTTATCTCAAGGTAGGCTGTGACTACGCCCGCCCCAAAACGCAGAATTAATCGTTTTTCAAGTCGATTTTTCTCTCCGCCAAGTAAAAGTATGATAAATGCGTAGTTTGAACGTTTTTTCATTATAGATAATAGTTTATGTTACGTGTGGTTGCTCCGTGCTTTTGTATGAATCGCCATTTATGCGCTTTTCCTTTGAAATACAGAGTTATCTTCTAGTTCTTTTATCACGAAGATGTTCATCTAAGAAACAAGTGCTTACGTATGAGTATTACGTCCTTACGTTTGACTCTTACGTTATTCTTTCTTCCGTTTGTTTTTATCAGGAAGATATTCACGTAAGGAAAATCCGAGCTCCAAAACAGCCCAAAGCAGGTTGGTATCTTTTTACAATGTAAAATAACCAATACGCAAATAAACGCAATTTTTGTATATTACGGATAATCATTGCTCTCATTCATAGTGGCCGTTTAAGCGCGCGGCTCTGAACGCAAATGACTTGAAAAAAAAAAAAAGACTTGTCAAAGAGAAAATTCCACGGCTCGGGCATGCAGAAATCTGGCTTATTCTAGAGTAAAACAGAACGACATTGATTTCAAACGAATAGTTAATCTACGACGATTAACGCGTACATGCAAATCAACCTTGCGGAAATCATAGAACAAAATGGTGGAAACTAGCGATAAACTAGTGTGAGCTGCGTTGGTGTTTCTAAAGAAAAAATTGTGTAAAAAGATAAATTTAACAACGTAAAAAGCCAGGTGAAATAACGTACTGACGTTTCGGACGTTAATCCTTCGTCGGAGTAATATAAAGAGAACAGATGAGCAACAACAATAGATACAAAACGCGAGTAAAACACGAGAGTGCGCGAAAAGCGTAAATTCTCCGTCTGAAAAGAAACGTACGTAAAAACTGCTACAATAGCACTCTTATACTATCATTTTAATTCATATCATTATTATTTTGCTTAGACTGCGGAAGTCGTCTTCAAGGAAAATCAGGAAAAGTTTCCTCACCAAAATTTCCGTCCCCGTACGCTACGGATTCTACGTGCGTGTGGTTAATCAAGGTTGACAAAAGCAGCTCCATAGAGCTAACGTTTACGGAAATTGACATTGAGAAAAGCAAGAAATGTCGTTACGATAGTTTGGCAATATACGATGGTGCTAACGTAAGTATATGTGAGGACACGTAAGACATAAACGTAGGTCGACGTAAGAAAGCAACCGTAAAACAAGGTTTAGCTGGAAAGCTTGCCTTAACTAAAAACGTGATCATTAACACGAATTTAACGAGAGTAGACGACGGTAAACGTGAATGTCCCAGCAACATTTACACGAGTCAACTCAATTTAACGTGAAAGATGACGATGAACATTACGTTCCAACGTTAATGACGCAAATTAAAATTAACGCAAGGAGTCATAACAAGAAAGAATCACAAAGTATAATGATATTTCTAATACAGAACTAATAAACACGTCCTTTCCAATTTTCAGTCTAAAGCACCCGAACTCGGAAGCCTATGTGGGAACAAGACACCAAAAGCTCCAATTCGCACATCCGGGAATTTTATGTATATTGTGCTTACGTCAGACGAGGCGGATACTGGCAAAGGTTTCCTAGCAACATGGAAAGCTGTGTCAAGAGACATCAGTAAGTGCGCAGATGGCTGCGATATAATGTTACTGCGTTTTTGTAAGCAAAATTGCTACCTTTTGCACTGATTCAGTCGATTGACATCTTTCATGTTCTTTGCTAGAATGTGGCGGAACGTTCAAGAATTTGACAGGTCAGATGTCAACCCCAGACTTCCCAAACAATTACCCGGCCAATGTGGATTGCGAGTGGATAATCTCGGTCCCAATAACTCATTCTTTGGCGCTCAGTTTCGAGACGTTTGATATAGAGAGGAGTGCGAAATGCTCATATGACAGCGTGGAGATCTGGGAAGGAGCAAAGAAGGACTCACCCTCCCTTGGTGAGGTTAATTTGTAATGTATAATCGTATCAAGTGAAGTTCTCATCTTTTGATTTTCTATATTAAGAGCTGTCTATATATGGGATGGTTGTGTAAAAAGATATATTTGATACAGTAAAAAATGTATGTGAAATAACTTACTGACGTTTAGGACTCTTTACTCCGACGAAGGATTAACGTCCGAAACGTCAGTAAGTTGTTTMAMCTACTTTTTTAMKGTGTBAAAYTTATCTTTTTACACAACTGTTTCTTTAGAAACACCGTCGCAGCTCACACTAGTTTACCGGTATTTCCCACCATTTTACTATATATGGGAAGAACCAACCTAGTTTGACGCTCTGGTTTCTTTTGTTATGTTTTTTTTCCACTGGAGTGATTGAAACNTCCCGGGGGGGGCACTCGACCCCGTTTTGGATAGGTACGTGCCGCCAGCGGTCTAAATCCCTGACCCTGTTTAAGACACTAAAAAGTAAAAATCCATACCCTGTTCAAGACAAATCGGAAAAATAAGGAATAGCTATCTACGCCGCAGCCATCAAAACTGCAAATATACTGACATCCATCAAAGACAATAAGAAGTTTTTGATAACACGTTAATTCTGGGACAGTGAAACGGTATGTCTACTATTTCTACGGTGAAAAAATTATTACCCTATCCAAGACACAAAAAAATTATATCGGTCTCTTTTATCGAAATTGTAGAGCCTGTTTAAGACAATTTCGGGTGAAATGTATACCCTGTTTAAGACAATTTCGGGTGAAATGTATACCCTGTTTAAGACAGCAAGGCCAAAAACCATACCCTGGCCAGTATAGCAAATATATGGGAGTACACCCCCCGGGGATTGAAAGATAACTTGTCCATTTTAGTAAAGGATGTTTATTTGGGTCTCCTAAAACGCTACGAGAGGCAGCACATTCTACCTTTATTTATCTACATTAAGTCTAAATCTAAACTGCAATTAGGACTTCCATTCTAAAAATTTACCTCACTTTGGAAACATTAAGGCGCAAAAAAGTTTTATGGGAAAACTTCACGATTTTCAGTTTGTAAAATTTCACGAACCTCGGACTCATGCAGCGCGCACTGTTTATTCAAACTAGACTTAACTTTTTATTCACTTTTTATACTTCCAGGTCGCTTTTGCGGTACCAAGTCACCTGGAACAATCAATGCACAGGGTACAACACTGCGAATCAAACTTCATTCAGATGAATCAGACACGGCCCGGGGATTCAAAGCTGCTTGGACGTCAAAAAATCTTGCTGCGGCAAAACCCGGCGTCCGTTTATGTGGCACAAGTGCAGTCGGCACTCGTATTGTTGGAGGTGTGGTAGCGAAGGCAGGGGCGTGGCCTTGGCAAGTAGCGTTGCTATGGAACAAGGGATATGACAAGGGCGTTCACTTCTGTGGGGGCTCACTGATCAGTAACGAGTGGGTATTGACCGCTGCCCATTGCTTTGAAATCACAAAAGACAAGACAATGTACAAGTTGAGGCTTGGTGAGTAGAATAGATAAGATAATTCCAAAACTAGCCTGAAAAGCTTTTCTCGTTGAGTTTAAATTAAGATTGTTCATGTTAGCAGGGAAATTGAAATTAAAAACCCTGAAGGATATAAAGTCTCTCGAGAAATCGTTGGGCTGCCTATGCTCCAGCACGCCATCCTTCTCTGTTGTCTTTCATCGTGTATAATAGTTCTACTAGAGAGCGTTTTTTACTTCTTGTTCATTGTGCAAATGCCCGAAATGACCTCTTCCACCACACTTTTAAAAGATTAGTTTATCTCTGTCTAACGTGCCTCAAGTATCAAATAAAACCAAGTGATCTGTATTGAGTGAAAAGAGTTCACTAAGCACAGCACAGATTTCTTGGTTAGGACGCAACACTATATTCAACCTAACTGCGCGCGCAGCACTCTGAAACTCTTTACACAGGAAGCCCAATACATAACACCAGACCATGAATCATTTCAACTTTTTTAAGGTGAGCATCTTCTTAACAAAACCGAAGGAACAGAACAAGACTTTCTTATAGACAGATACTACATTCATCCGAATTACAACGAACGCACGACTGACAACGATGTGGCCTTAATCAAGCTGAATAAACCTGCCATTCTGAACAAGAGGGTAAACACGATATGTCTTCCTGAACCAGACGATGAGTTCAATCCTGGTACAGTCTGCACTATCACTGGGTGGGGTGCATTGAAAGAGGGAGCGTCAACTTCCAAGGTATAGCTATGCAAGTATTTATATAGTGATAGTGGCAGTGATAGTGATAGTGATAGTGATAGTGATAGTG